GGAAATGTGACGAGGAAACACCAACAGTGCTGAGTTTCTTTTGTTTGTACACCAGAGGGTGGAGTGCCACAGCTCACTGTTTACCCAGCACCTAGTCATCGCATCTGAGACTACTACAGGTGGAGCCAAATTATGGTAAAGGTTAAGTGTAGTAACCAGGAAACGAGGCAGTGCCGGAAAAGTTACAGCAGAGAAAAATTTTTGTCAAGTCCTAATTTCTTTTATGTCTGTCCCACTACAGGACGTAAGAGAGTAGAATAGAAACATTTTACCTCCCCCATCTAGATCTTCCAGCTGTTAATGTGTTTAACTTTGAAATATAATACTAAAACAGTGTCATCTAGATGTCTTAATAGTTGTTTTGTTTGTTTTGTTTTGTTTTGTTTTGTTTTGTGTTGTGACAGTGTCTCACTATGTAGTCCAGACTGTCCTAGAACTCCTAGTGATCTCCCTGCATCAACCTCCCAAGTGCTGGGATTATAGGTGTGCACCAGCACGCCAGGGCCTGGTTTTTTGTTTGTTTGTTTGTTAGTTTTGGTTTTTAACTGTGAATTTGTTTTTAACCTGAATTTGGTGATTTTAACCTGAATTTGGTGATGGATATGGTGATAACTGACTGACTGGTATGATGTGGAGCCACTGTCTTCCTGCACTTTCATTATCCATTATAAGGAGTAAGACTTAGAAATCAGTATCACTTCTAAGATTATATGACAGGAACATCTCAAAGTTGGGCTAGAATCTTAGTCTCTTAATTACCAACTGATTCTCTGCTATTTTATTTTCAAAATATTCTTTTCCAGATCTTATAATAGCCCTTGAAAACTTCAAATTTTATCTCAGATTTTCATCCCTAAGTACGTAGTGAACATTTATTAGCTTTAATTTGTCTTTCCTCTTGTGTTTTTCATTGTTAAAAAAGGGGGGAGTAGCAATTTAAAGAAATTAATACTGTGTCCTGTGTCAGTGAACATGGTTTGTTGGAGTAATCTGTTTTTATTTGACCATATTGTCCATGAAACGTGGTCAGCTATGGTATATGCATGGGCAAGATGGAAAGATCCCTTCTGGGGATTGTATTTCCTCAGGGAAATGAAAAGAAGTAAAAGCTATATTATCTTAACATCTGTGAAGGAGGTTTTAAGTAGAAAGTTGTAAAATTCTAAAAATATTACAATTCGTATTTTCACAGACATCACATTTATAAAAAGGAAAAATGTCACTTTAGTTGTGTTTATATCTTTGCTGTAAGATAGGTATATTTATATTCAGAGTGACTAGCCTAACAAAGCCTGGTTTTCAAAGGAAATTTAAATTTAAAAAGAGCAAAGTCGCTTCAGCAGCGGAATTCATTCTCAGAATTGCCCTTGGTAGTCTCAACTGGCCTTGAGAAGACTGCAAGCACCCCACGAGGCGCCAGGGCCCTGTGACTGTGATGGAGATCAAGATTTCTCCAGTGGTTGTAGCACACAAACTTCTTGAATTTAAAAGAGATTCTGAGGACTCATTCCCAAGATCCTGTTATGTAAATAATGCATTGGGCCTGTAACTCTGCATTTTAATAAGCTGTATGGGCACATTTTATCCTTAAGGAGTTATTATTCTTGAAAGTGGGTAGCAAGAGAATCAAAACTTTTTGACTCCAGAGTCCAAACAAGATAAGCCATTTAAAATCTCTTTTACTTGTAAATTTTAACACTGACAGTTCAGTGAATACATTTTTATCCCCAAATTAGCAATTTAAAAGTTTGTTTACCCCAGGAGTTTGTAACGTGAAACAAAAGAAACATACTCAATTTCCTTAAACATCTCAGATGAATCTAATCAAAAGATTTTTTTAATGTTTAAGTTTTAAACATTATTTCAGAACATTTTTTAAAAATGAAAGCCAGAAAATGTTGTAAAAATTATCCTAAGCCATTTGAATTATTAGAACTTTATTCCATGTGTATTTTAATAGCATAAAGGTTTTCAGTGTATTTTTTATTGCAGAGTAATTAAGTCAGGCTCTCGGAGTGATAAAATATAAGCATACCAAAATAATTAAACCCAGATATTTTAATAATTATTTTCACTTAGACCATATGTTAAAGAGGGGTTTTGCTTTTTTTTTTCCTTAAATTCTAATTTATATGTCCCAGTTTGGACTCTGGTATAATTTACATACAGTAAAATTCATCCTGTGTGGTATACAGTTTAAGTTTTAACAAATGCATAGATTTGTGAAGCCTACATCATAGTCATGATAAAAAAATAATTTCCATTACTCAAGACATTTCTTCATGCAATTTTACAGTCAGTTCTACCCACTGCCAGCCCCGGGCAAGCACTGATCTATTTTTTCCCCTATACTTTGTCTTTCTTAAAGGTTATATACATGGAATTATATAGTATGTAAAAATTTGAGCATGGCTTCTTTAGCTTAACAGAGTAAATCTGAGATTCATCCACATAGTGTGAATCAATATGTAGGTCCTTTTTATTGCTGAGCGGTAGTCCATTTTGTAAAGGTGTAAGGGACATTTTGGTTTTGCTAGGTGTTTGGTAACTTGGTGTTATGTTGCCACCAACATTCATGTACACAGTTCTGTTTGAACATAGTTCTAACTTCTCTTGAGTAAGTAATAGCTTGCTGGGTTGTGTCTTAAGGGTGTTATGCACCTTTTGCCTTCTCTCCATCAGTGTAAGGGAGTTCCAGACTTTCTCTACCCTTGTCATCATGGAGGATTGTCAAGTTTTGCCTTTTGTTCTTTATTTTCAATTTTCATTTTATGCTGTTTTGGCCATAAACGAGTAGCAGTATCTCATTGTGGTTTTAATTTGCATTTCTCTCATCACCAGTGATGCTAAGCATCTTTTCACGAGCTCATTTTGTATCTTGACTCATTGATGAAGTTTCTTTAACTTCAAAGATAAGGATAGCGTATTAACTATTGTTATTATTTTGTTATGAAATTTTTTCTCATAAAATAAAAAATATTCTAAAATAAATGAATATCTGTACTGTTACCGAGGTCTTGTTCCACGTAGAGGGCACAAGTAGATTAGATTCAATTTAATTCTTAGGGGCCTAGGATCTTTGGAATGGTAAAATGGCATTGACTTCAACCTAAAGTCACCAGCTACTTTAGTCCTAGTGTGAAAGTCAGCCTGTCCTTTGAAGCTTTGAGCACAGGCATTGCTTCTGCTCTCTAGCTAGGAGTGTCCTAAATGGCATCTTCTTTCGACATACGGCTGTGGGTCTATACTGCAAGTGTGGTGATTAGTGTAGTCACCTTCATCAGTTACCTAGCAAGAGCCTCTGCGTAATGCTGCAGCTTTGGGAGCACCGGCTGCTTCACCTTGCGCTTTGATGCTGTGGAGATGGCTTATTTCTTTAAGCTCATGAGCCAACCTCTGCTAGCTTCACACTTTGCTTCTGCAGCTTCTTACCCGCCTCGGCCTTTGTAGAGTTGAGCCAAGTCAGGCACTTGCTCTGGGTCTTGGCTTAGGACTGACTTGATCTATCCCAGCCAATCAGACTTTCTCCTTTACAGCAAGAAGGCTGTTTTCCTTTCCTGCCATTCAGTGGAGTAGCAGTTTTAATTTTGCTTAAGAACTGTTCCTTTCCATTCACAACTTGCCTTTCTGATGAGATTTCAATCATTCCCAGCTTTTGACTTGCTTTCCTCACTAAGTTTAATCATTTCTAGTTTATTTAAGAGATTTGCAACTTTTCCTCTCATCTGAACTCTTAGATGCCATTGTGGGGTTATTAATTGCCCTTATTTCTATAATGTTGTGTCTCAGGAAGGCCTGACAAAAAGGAGAGACAGGAAACAGCTTGGCAGTAGAGTAGTCAGGACAGACACAGAATTTATCAGTAAAGTTTGCTGCTTTATATGGGCAAGGTCAGGGCACCCCAAAACAATTACAATAGATCACTCATCAGAGATCACCAGAACTGGCAGAGTAATAATGAAAAGCTTTGAAATATTGTGAGAATTACCGAAATGTGACACTCAGACATGAAGTGAGTGCATGGCAGACCCCAAAAACAGCACTGATAGACTTCTCGACCCGAGATTGTCGCTGACCTTCAGTTTGTCAAAAGCAGTACATGTGAAGCACAGTAACGCAAGGTATGCTTGTACAAGCTCTAGGGTTATCCCACCCATTTCTGGGGGAAGGAGAACAGCTGGCATTGTGACTGTACTGAGTCCATGGGTGAGTTTGGGGAGTATTGCCATCTTATCAGTATTAAATACTCTAGGCCACAAAGAGGAGATATCTTTCCATGTGGTTGGCACACATTTTCTTACTTTTTTTTTTTTTTGTCTTTTTGAGACAGGGTCTCATTACACAGTTCAGGCTGGCCTTGAACTCAATGTGTAGCCCAGGCTGGTCTCGAACTCAAAACAATCCACCAGCCTCAGCCTCCCAAATGCTGGGATTACAGGCCTGCCCACCATACGCGGCCGACACACATTTTCTTTCAGTCATATTTCATAGTGATACTCAGCACACTGGTCTTACACTTCTTTTGTTAAATTTTTGCTGGGCGTTTTATTCTTTTTTGGCTTGTTTATTGATAGTGTATAGAAAAACAGTAGATTTCAGTGTTAGTCTTGTTTGACATGTTTTAATGACACAAAGCGTGAAGAAATTAAATGAATACCAAGAATTATTATTTTGTAGCTGTAAATTGTTATCTAAAAGTAACATTAGATAAATACTGAAGTTCAATCTCTAGGAGTTTTGATTTTTAGATTTTTCATCCATTTGTTTATTTATTTTTATCTTCGTCTTTTTGAGACAGGGTTTCATTATGCAGTTCAGGCTGACCTTGAACTCACTTCGTAGCACTGGCTGGTCTCGAACTTGCAGCTATCCTCCTGCCTCAGTTTCCCGAGTGCTGGGATTATAAGTGTGCGCCACCACGCCAGGCTTACCTATACATTTAGACACACTCCCTATTTCATCAGTAATCTTTAAATAAACTATTTTTCTTCTACTTTTAGCGTTAAATGTTTACAGAAGACCGTGAAGGATTCTTACCACATAATGTGTAGACCCTGTGCCAGTGACCTCGAAGTTTGTGCAAAATGTGGAAAGGAAGAAGACATTGTTGTTCCGTGAGTATTTCCTCTTACATCTGAAGTTCACGCCTGGTAATTGATGTATGCACCGTCTTTTAATGGGGCATACAGTAACTGTCTTTCTGAGATTTAGTATATCACTAATTTAGGCATTTTTTTCTACCTAATTGGGAGAAAGTCATAATGTCATTAAATGTGTCTATATTACAATAAAAGTAACACTTTATGTGTTTAAAAACATCAGATATTTAGTTATGAGTTACAAAAGAAACGTTATATAACAACTTCCTCTTAATGGATATCCATTATTAATTTCTTTGAGTCTCCTTTAATATGTTAATGAATAGAATCTTGAATTTAGTTCATTTTGAAGGATCTTTTTCTCTGTGTTTGTTTCACTTCCCTTCTGCTCAATTCAGTAGTAAACCTGGGCATGGTGGTGCACACCTGTAATCCTAGCACTCTAGGAGGCTGAGGCAGGAAGATCAAAAGTTTAAGCCCAGCCTAGGCAATTTAGTGAGACCCTGTTTCAAAATTAAAAAAAAAAAGAGCTGGGGCTATTGCTCAGGATGAAGGCCCTGGGTTCAATGCTGAGTATTCTCTACCCGCCACCCCACACACACACCAGAAAAAAGAAAGAGTGGTAAAGGTCTTTTCAACCTATGTGGTTAAATACTGAAAGCCTGGGAAGTAATCAGAATTTTTTTCTTTCATCTTTAGGTTTAATAAGGAACCAGAAAAGACAGAAAATAGTGAAAATAATAAAAGATCCAATCATAGAAGAAGCTGCAAGAGGAAAGAAGAAAGTGATGATGACTCAGATTTTGATATTGATTTAGATGACACAGATGATAATCAAGTGGATTAATGTACATTAAAAGTCATTCCAGGAATGTAAAATTTTGATCACATTTTTTGCCTTTGATGGTGTCACAAAAAGTACTATGAAATCCCAATGAAGAAATCAGAAAAAGCTATAGGAAATAGCCAAAAATCACATGAATAATATAAATTAGACATGATATTTACATAATTGTAAAACCTTCCTCCAGAGTTGTTTTAAGACAAAATTTTAAGTTGCGTATGCTAGATACCTGCCAAAAAGCAGATAAAATCAAGGTGTCATACTACGGTTCATGGGAATTCCTTAGGAGACTGTCTCAGCCAATATCAAAATAAGATTCAGAATTGGTGCTTGTATAAGAATTATCTCAGCTGGGCCTGGTGGTACATACCTGTAATCCCAGCACACATGTAATCCCAGCACTCGAGAGGCAGAAGCAGGATGAGTGCTGTCAGTTCAAGGCCAACCTGAACTATACATTGAGACCCACTCTCAAAAAACAAAAGCTGTCTAATGTAAAACTAAGAGACATCATTATAAGTAGCCTTGAAAGGTTAGTGCATGGACTACAGTCCCAGAATTTGGGAGCCTGACGCAGGAGGATTGCTGTGTTCAAGGCCAGCCTGGGCTACAAAGTGAATTCAGGGACAGCTTGAATTATGTAGCGAGACACTATCTCAAGAAACCAAAAGAAAAAAATTAGTCCTTTTGGAAAGGAAAATTAGTCCTTTTGGAACGGAAAGTACCTTTTGGTGACTGCTCTCAACTTTAAAAAAAAAAAAGGTTCACTTATCCCAGGCCTTTTTACTTACATTTACTTGTTACAAGTCAAAAGTTTATTCTTTAAAAATAATGTTTATGACGTGCATAGCACTTTTTCTCAGCTTTTATGTTTTTCCTCTTGTGAAATATATATCCCAAAAGGCCTAGAATTTCCATGTGTGGTTAATAAGTAATCATAAAGGACACGCATGCATACACGCGGAGCAGAAAGCATGGCTCCCCGAGGCTCCCTGTCATACCCTGTGCCCCCTTCCCACACTCCGTGCGGGATTTGGGTAATGACTTTATCATTTGGTACCTGCGATTCTACTCCAAACAGCATACATTAGTATTGGCTGATTTTAACCCTTTCCTATCCTTTTGTTTTGCAAAACTGCAAACCTGAAGGAAAGTAGCAAGGTAGTAAAGTAAACCTTTTCATACTATTTGTCTAAATCCCCAGTTGTAGTATTTTATCATGTTTTCTTTGTAGCCCCATAGATGACTATTTTACATACACGACTTAAAGCACTGATTTTGAAATTTACATGAATAGACTTATACTATGTATACTGTTTTGTCTCTTTTTCATTTTTATAACGTCTGAGATGGTCTATTTTGTTACAAAAGTTGTATTTGTTTATTTTATATTACTGTATACCTCAGATTTTTTCCTATCTGACAATACTGGTGTGAGCATTGTTATCTGTGTCTTTTTGTCCGTGTGTGCGTTTTCATCAGGCACTTACCTATCAGTGTAGAAGGAATCAGGTGTGTGCGTCTTCCCTATTACTATGTGGTACGAAAATTTACCAGAGTCCTGCTGGCCTCCTCCCCTGCGGCAACGCCTTGTAGCCTCAGTACCCTGAGAAGTGCTCTGCGGCGTGAGATGAGCCAGTTCAAGTCAGAAAAGCAGTCCACCCTGCGGAGTGCGGGTGGGCGCACTGGTGAAGCGCTCACAGCAGCCACAGCTTAATGGCCACTGTCTTTATATCCCCTGCTCTGATGACAGATCTAACCCCTCCATCAAAAACCCGCGTATCTCCTGCCAGGAGTTTGGTACCAAGTGCAGGGCTGGGCTTGATCTCACCCCAGAAGAACTGAAGACAGTGTCCTCTGATTGGTGTCAGGAGCAGGGCTCAGAAGCTTGTTTTGTGCCCAACAAAGAAAACCAAGGAGTTCCCAGAGTAGAAGAGGAGCCAAGAAGCCAAGTGGCACATAAATTGAGCACTTCCTTTATCCTGGTGCTGCTGGAAACGGAGCCGTTTACGTGATGGGCTCATTGAGTGTTCATCAGTGTCCTATGTGATGCACGCTGTCATCTATATTTACTGATGAAAAGTTAAGTGATTTTACAGACAGCCAATAAGCTTTCGGCCCAGGAGTTGCTCTGATCGCATGCCGAACCGCCATCTAACCGCTTCTGCACGGCACTAGGGTTAGTGTATGTGAGAACAGTAAGTGAGCTACTGATAGGACACGTCTGCTGTTACCCTTACCACCACTGAGGGCTCTGATAGCGGTGCAGCTGCCGTCCTTTCGTAGCATCCATCATTTCAGACAACTTGGACCATTTTTCTAATCACCCCACGCACTCTCCCCAAGCATTATTTCTTTAGGTTTTTAGCCATTACTGGTGCATTTGAATTCACTTTACTGCTTCATACTTCCTATAATTCGATTCACTACTTTTTTATATTTGCTTACAACATATGAAACAATACCTGTAGTCTTTTTTTTTTTTTTTTTTTTGGTCGTTTTGAGGCAGGATGTCACCATACAGATAGGCAGGCCTTGAACTCACTTTGTAGACCAGGCTGGCCCCGAACTTGCAGCGATCCTCCTGCCTCAGATTCCAGAGTGCTGAGATTGTAGGCACGCTCCACCATGCACAGTCAATACCTGTAAGCTTTCCAATTAGGTTATGTCACTTTACTTTGAGGACTCTTTACATAATTAATACAATGTTTGCAAGCAGTTCTGGATGTACAGTACAGTAATTGTAGTGGGAAGGTAACTTGTGACCATCTCCCAATGCAGTAATAATTAATAGAAGGTCATGAATGTTGTTTTATATATAACTTGTAGTTATGTTACCTTTTTAAAATAGTATAAAGGGACTGGGGATTTAGCTCAGCAGCACAGCACCTGCCTGGCAAGTGCGAGGTCTTGAGTTTGATTGCCGGTACCAGAAAAAAAACAAAAACAAACAAACAAATAGAATAGTATAAAGCTGGGGATATAGCTCAGTGGCACAGCACCTGCCTGGCAAGCGTGAGGCCCTGAGTTCGATTCCTGATATCTAAATAAATTAATTTAATGAAATAGTGTAAGATAAACAGTACTGTTTGGATAAGATCTTTCCATTTTCAAGATGACTGAACAGACTCAGGGTAAGCTGGGTGTGGTGACGCACACCTGTAATCCCAGCACTCGGGAGGGAGGCTGAGGCAGGAGGATTATTGTAAGTTTGAGACCAGCCTGGGCTACAAAGTGAGCTCACGGCCAGCCTGAACTCCTCAGCAAGACCCTGTCTCAAAAAGACGAAAAAACAAACAAACAAAAAAAAACAGACTCAGGTTAAGAAACTTGGCAAAATAAAGGAAATAACCTGAGATACAAAGTGTGTAGTTCTAAAACCTTTTATTATTTCATCTTCTAAGTCTTTTCCTTGTAATATTATTTCTGTACTAAATGATTACCCTATTCAAAAATGGAAATCAATACCGATTATAGATATCCTAAAATTATGGAGTAGTGTATGTGAGTTTGTGTGTGGTGCTGGGGATCAAACCTAGGGCTTCATGCGTGATAGGCAAGCACTGTACTACTGAGCTATCACCCCAGCTCAGTTGTGGCATAGAATTTTCATCACTGCTTTTGTGTAAGTTTGTCAGTCATACTAAATGTTTCCATAAATCTGATTTGTCAACATGAGGAAATCAGAGAAGTATGTTAGGATTGCTTGCTGAATTCTACACTAGTCCCACTATTCTTTCAACAGTTACGTACACAGGGGGAATATTATGCCTTGCTGAAACTCAAATATAAAGCTTTGTGTGGCGGTGGTGGTTGGGGGAGTAGATCCCTGGACCTTACACATACTAGGCAAGAACTTTACTACTGAGCTGTATCACCACCCTGTCCATAACAGGTTTAAGGAATTAAAGTACCAGACTTTCAAAAAGATATTAGTACACAGAAACACAAAGTTGATTCTTTTGCGCCTATACCTTATGGTTTGTTTGTAGTTTGTCTTCACCAAATTTCATGTTGAAATTTTCTTACCAATGTAGTGGTGTTAAAGGTGGGACCTCTAAGAGGCCTTAAAGACTTTCTCCTAAGACTGGATTATTTCTCTGGAAATGAGTTAGTTCTCCTGGGAGTGAATTTCACACAGTGTCTGGCCCCCATTGTCCCCTCCTGTCTTCCACTGTGTAGCGCCAGCTGCCGTGTTTCTGTCATGAGGCACTGACCTGAAACCAGTTAGGTGCCAGCAACTTGCATTTTCACTTCCAGAATCATGAGCCAAAATGAAAGTTTTTTCTTTATAATGTTCCCAGTCTCTGGTATTGTTACAGCAACGGGAAGTGGAGTATAATAGTATGTAATTTTGAATTTTTTAAATTTTATAACCTAGTTCCAGGGATATAGCTCAGTGGTACAGCACCTGCCTGGCAAGCGCAAGGTCCTGAGTTCAATTCTAGGTACCAAAAAATAAAACTTAAAATAAATTTTATAACCTAAAATTTTACTTCACTCCAAAGGAAATAATTTACATTATCATTATTTAGTTAGTACATAATTGGTACTAATGTGGGCTTTTAAAATATATTAGCTATAAAAATAGAAATAATGCACCTAGTGTGGTGGTACATGCCTGTAGTGTACAGAGGCTAAGGCACAAGGATGGCCAGGTACAGGGCAAGCAGGGGCCCAGCCCACCATCAGCACCTGGTTGTCAAAGCAGCAAAGATGTGCAAAAGACAGGTTCTAGGGCCCTGGCAGCCCCATTAAGGAGGGCCCCAGAAGCTTCCAACTAGACCAGTCCAGGGATGTTCTACAGCAAGCCCTGGAAAGGGACCACCAGAGTTCAGGAAGGACCTTCCAGAAGGTTCCAGGGGATTATGATCAGCATGCACAGAACTCCTGGAGACCTGAGACCCCTGACGCAGGTCATCACTTCTCTCAGCCTCAGACAAGAAACACCAGGAGAAAAGCCTGTGAGAACATTTGGGTAGGAAGTTGGGGCAGACCCACAAGGGCATGATCCCCCGTGTGTGCCCGTCCTAGCTTGCGGCCGACCACTATCCACAGGTCCAACACCCATGCCAAGCCCAGAAAGCCAGTGCGCCCCAGGGCTCAGAAAGCCCATGTGAACACCTCTCATGAGTTTCCTTTCCTCAACCCCAAAACTCTCCTCCTGCGATAAGCACACATTCAGAGGTCTTGCTTAAAGCACTCGTAGGGTCCGGACTCCAGGTTCTTCAGCCCGTGAACATCAGGGTTGGCAGGCTCGAGCCCTGCCACTCTCCACAGCCTGCTTCTCCCCACTCGGCCTCCTGGGACGCCAGGGCCCACTGCATTGCCAAAGTTGCACCTGTCTTCAACAACTTCCCCACAAAGCTCCAGGACACATGCAGGGAAGACCAAGGGCACTTCGCACAGTGCAAAGTCCTCCCAGCTGCCACCTGCTCATAATTATGTGCTCAGGGCCTGCAGGGGAACCCCATTCAGTCCCAACTGGGGGCCCTCACAGGCTCTTCCAACTTCCTTGTCCTCACTACACCAAGTCTGATGACTTCTTCCTGCCCACACGTCTACTGCTTCCTCATACATATCTGTTATCAGAGGGAGCGTGCTGTTGTCCTGCTGGGGCACTGGAAGGGCTCAGCATGCGCTCTAATTCAGAGCTGCTTCCAGAAGGCACCTGGCCTGCAGGGAGATGAGAGAGGCAGAGAGGACCCATCTTCACCGCAGCTTCCCTCGCTGCCCCTGCACGGTTCATCACTTGGTCGTGAGAGAAATGGAGTGGCACAAAGCCTCTCAGACCGCTCAGCATGACCGGGCTCTGCAAGACTCCACCACGGGTCTGGCTCCACCTGTCCCTCACCTGCTTCCCCTCTGTGTGAGGATGGTATACAAAGGCATGGCTGGTCCAGGAAGTGTCCCATGTCATAGTGTTGACATGGGAATGTTGGGCAGGCAGGGTGGTGGTTCTGGGTTCACGGGTGGCAGAGCTGCGCTCCCCTAGATTTCTTGGAGTGTAACAGTGACACCTGCCTGTGAGCCGCAGCTCTGCTTCATGGAGGCTGCATGAGGTTGGGCCCTGCAGCCGCATGTAGTTCAGCCTCCACAACATCACAATGTCACCTTCCTCTGCTCCATAGCAACACGCAGGACAGAAGCTGCAGGCCTGTGTGTGTGGGTACAGGTGGGTGACGCAGGAGAACTGCCAGGGGCTGTGCCACCCTCCCTTCCACTCAGCTGCCTTTCCTTCTGGGCATGGCTGTGTGTGCAGGAACCATCCACAGGAGGGGCATGGTGCATACCAAGTGAAACAAGGATTAACTGCAAAACAGCCAGGAAGGAGGCAGAGGGTGGGTGGATTTCCTCTTGGGAAACTGTC